ACGGGGGTGGGATCAGCCCTGCGCGGGTGGGAGCAGCCCTGGGAGCTGCAGAGGCTCAAGGAGGCTTCAAACCCTGCCTTGAAATGGGACATTATCCTCTTAAAACCCTTTTGCTGGAGAGGATGTGGATTTATATCTGCTTATTTGGCTCTGGGTCTGTTCGTGGCATTCGTGTGTTCCATACAGTAGATCAAAGTAGGCAAAGCAAACGCAAAGGGAATTTGTCTGCACATCCCATAGTGCCCTGACTGCTTGACTTCCTCCCATCTCACAGATTTGCTTCTGCTGGCCAGGGAGCAGGTCTTGTGTGTGACACTCAGCAATCACTTGATGGTTTTAACCTGCTTCAGGAGCTTTTAATGCTGAGTCAAAGCCACAGTCACACGTTAGCTGTAAGCATCTGCAGTGTGGAGCAACTCCAGCATTGCTCAGAGAGGAACACTTCTAGGGATGGGGAGGGTTCTCTGCTCTGTGCCACAAGCAGGGACACCTTCCACTAGCCTAGATTGTTTTAAGCCCCATCCAACCTGGCCTGGAACACTTCTAGGGATGGGGAGTGTTCCAGGCTCTGCTCTGCACCATCCTGAGTGGCCTTTGGGCTGGTTCCTCTCTGCCTCCTCCCCATCCACCCCAGAGCAGGTGTGCAGGCACACCTGGAAAGCTTCTCAGCCCCAGCAACAAGGAGATGTGGGAATGAGGAGTGTGCTCCTCCCTGGCTAGAAGCACTGGAGTTCCCTGCCTGGAAGTCCTGAGGCAGAACTTCCCCCGTGGGATGTGTAAAGGGAAGACACCCTTTTATCCTTGAGAGGAGGAGCAGTGGGAACTCCTCAGGCTCTGTGTTGAGGAAGGAACACATCTGGTGTGGGGAGGAACAGGGTGAGAGCAAAGTCTGTGCTGCTGAAGGTTAAGCTGCTGCTGCAGATTGTTAGTGTAGTAAACTAACTCAGAACTGTTCAGTGTCTGAATGTGGAGAGAAAATAAAGCCAATCAACCTCCTGCATGTTGTCCCTTCAGCTTCCTGTGGGAGAGCACAGAAGATGATGGTTTGCAAGAAAACAAGTCAAAAATCCTGGTTCTTAGTGAAAGTAATGACCTCTTTGTGTATGAACTCACTGTGGAGGATAGAAAATGCACCCTGAGCTCCCTGCACTATTGTAAGGAAGAAACACTGAAAAAGCTCCTGGAAGTTAACAACATCCGTGAGTAAATCTCAGTGTGTTCCACGTGGGAAGTTGCTGTAGCTCTGGCTCTGCTGCTCCTGGGGGTCACACCCAGGCAGTGGTGCTGAGCACTGGAGGGTGTCAGGTGCTGCCACAAGGGTTTGAAGTGATCAGCAGGAGTGATGGACTTGATCAATAAAAGGGACATTTCCGTGTTCAAAGGTGGCATTGTTAGGGGGAATTAAACTGTTGTAGAGTCAGGGGGTCGAAGCTAAAATAAATGCTAATAAAACATGTTCATTCAACCCTTTTCTCTCAGATTTTCCCTTTAGTATTAGAGCTGATGGGGAGAGAACACCCTCTAGAGACTAATGAAGGACTTAACTTTATGTACTATGATTAGCAGATGTTGTGTGCAGTTGGGATGAACCTTTGGGGCCTTAAACAGTCTCCCTAGAGCATATTTAGTTCCAAGGATTGTAGCTCTTCTCTTCAGTGCTGACTGAAATATGATTTTGTGGTGATTTTTTGTGTTCTTCATGGTATTATCCACTGCAAAAGCCTGAAGTGCTTTAGGAAACTTCTAAAATCAGTGTTTCTGCCATAAAAGTGGGATTTAAAGCAAAACAGACCCCACTACAATACAACTTGTACTGAGTTGGCAGCAGAGCCAATAGATTTGAGCTCTCCTTGTCTTGGGATTCCTTTGCAACCCAAAGTACCTCCTGACTCTAACCCTGAAATCTCTCTGAATCCCCAGGTCTGCCCTCAACTCTCTCTGTGAAGATTCTCTCCTTTGAAAACAACAAGTGCAAACTTCTGCTCAGCCACTTCGTCCTGGTGCATCTGAGCTTCCCAGAGGGAGACTCTCTGTCAGAGACCTGCAACTGCTTCACCCTGGAGGTGCCTCCAGGAGCTCTGGGCAGAGTCACAGACTCCCAGTACTGCAGGGGCATCCTGTTCCTCCTGGACAGTGCTGGCTGCATTTGTATCCTTTGGTGGAAATGAGCCCTCAGGGAAAGTGATCTGCAGGAACAGAGCTGTTTTCCTTTAGGGATGAGCAGAAAATGTCTTGAAAGACATTCAAGTATCTGTTTTGCCTCCAAAGGTTGTGTGGCAAATTCCTGGTTACAGTAGTGTGAATGCCATAGTTGTACCAAATGTTCCTCAACACACCACTGGGAATCTATTCCCCACTGGGTTAATGGATTTCAGCACTTTGGGCACATGGGTCTGTGTGTTACAGGATCTACTGTCAGCTAATTTCTTAGTGGGATCCCTTAGGAATTACCTACCAAGACACAAGGAATCGCAGCCTGGAAAGCAGATCTGGGTGTGGTGATGAACAGGGGCTCAGCCCTGTGAGCCTGTTCCATGAGGTGCTTGATTTAACCCATTCTGTCAGAATGTTCCATGAGGTGCTTGTTTTAACCTACTTCTGGTCATTATTTCCTGACCCATGTGAAAATGGATGAAGTTAGGTCTATTTTCCCCTCCCAGAACTGCCAACACAGTTCACTGACTAAAGAGTCAAATTGGAAGGGACTGCAGGGGCTCACCTGGTCCCACCTGCCTGCTCCAGGAGGGCCAGCAAGTCCCAGATTAACTCCTTAGAGATGTCTAAGCTGCATGTCTGTGCAGCACAACCCACCGCTGAACCCTCTGAGCTCAGAAAGCTCCTGGAGAACAAACTCTCCACATTCTGAGGTGCAGAGCTCAGCCTAGACCACAAAGTTACTCCAAATCCACCTCCTTCCCCTTCTGTGTGACTTCTCTGCTGGACACTGAGCTTTAAGGTTTTCTTTGATGCCGTTTCAAGACATATTTGACTGTTTTGATGGTTCAAAACTAGGGAGCATCCAAGTGTCCCCATGCCAGTGGAATGAGGGCAAGGGTTCAGCCCTCTCATCACCACTCACTGCCCTGAGAGTGTCCCACGACCTGAGCATGGCTGTGGTCACCAGTGCCTCCAACTGTGCCCTCTGTGTAGACCTCAACAGCTACTTCAGGTACCTTGGCAGCAGAATCCCTAAAGGGAGGGATTAAAGCCTTAACTTAAGGTTTTGAGTACAACCAGCATTAAAAAGTGCCTAATTTTGGTCCTGTCATCAAGGTGCTCTCAGCTTTTCCTTTTGAGTTCTGTCTCTGTGCTAAGAGATATTTGTCTAAAGTTTGTCCTTTATTATTTGCTCTGTCAGTTTAATAGCCAAACTTTATCTTGGGCTTTTGTGTCTCCAGGAGGATCTGGGTTTGTGCTGTCAGTGCTGGGTTGGGTGATAGCACCTTTAGAAGTGCTGTGGGTATGGGGTTGTTAAACTCTTCTGGTACAGCTGTGCTGGTTTAGCTTGATAAACCAGGGCCAGGTGGTAATTAGGGGCAGTGTCCACCCCAAAGGAAGGAGCAGCAGGGTTTGGTGGCTCACCTGGACACGTTCCGGGAAGTGCTGTTAACCTGAGAGCTCCTGGGGGAGTTCAACATCAAAACCAACTTAAATCATCTGAGAGAGGTGAAAATTCCTATCTGTTTCTTTCCAGGCAGTTCCCTGAGCATTTGCTGTGTAAGAGAGATCCTGAGAGTCTCCCAGTGGAGCCTCCTGAGGGGCTGGATGAGGAGGACCTTGCCAGTTCTGAGCACAGCATGGAGCTTCTCTTACCACCTTTCCGTACGGACAGGTACAGGGGGAAATGCTTCCTGAGCCAGGCTGGGCTTGGCCTCCTCTGCATCACTGATGAAACACTCCTGATTTCATTTTAATCTCAATTGTGACTAGTAAAATCAGCTCATTCTCCTTTAACTCTTTGGAATTTGGAGTGATGTTAGGAAATGTGCTGAGACAACTTAACCTGTGTCGCTGAACAGCCTCCAAGCAGTGGTTGCTGCTTAGGGTTACCTTTCATTGAACCAATACCAACAGATTTTGCATCCCAAGGGCTTTACAGCTCCTTCTTTGCTCCCAGATGAGTCCATGTGGCCTTTGAAATCCTCTGTGTTCATGTAAAGCATTTAAACTGCCTGTGACCCTTAGAGGTATTAATGCTAAAAAAACATGTTCATTATAAATTGATGTAAAGGGAGTAAGTTCTGGAATCCCTGGAATTGATTCTGGTTTTAATTGTTGGGTCATTTAACGTGAGGAAAATGAAGTTTTCTACTAAAAATGCTCAACTTGCTGGACATTTTCAGCTAATGCAGCTGTGATCACTCAGCTGCAGTGTTTAAATGCTAATAAACAGGATGTTAAGGGTAAAATGCAAGATGCTGGATGGATTTTATAGGCTTAAAATGCATTTTATTTAACTGAGGAATCTTTATTTGCATTTCTTGGAGTAATTCCTGGATTTATAGGTGACTTCTCTGTTCTCCCCAGGTCCTGGAAGGCTCACTTAGCCTCCCTGTGTGACAGGGTGAGGAGGAGAAAACCTGCTTCTCCAGACTTGGTGGATGAGTTGAATTTACCTTGGTACCAGTTCTTTACCCATCTGGAAGACCATGACCCTGAGATCTGTGAGACCCCAGAGAGGATGTTTGCCTTTGTGCCTCGAGCTGCCATGGGGGCTGCAGCCAGAGCTGCCCAGGGCACCCCCCTGGGGGCTGCAGCACATCACTGGAGGCACATCCCCACAGCAGCACCGCAGGAGGAGGTCAGACTGGAGTGCAAACTGGTGACTGGAGCCAGAGCTGTGTTTGTGGTGCTCACAGAGGGCTCAGGGCTGGCTCTGGCTCTCTGGGACTTTGAGTCTCACAATGTGACTTACTCCCACTGGGGCAGAGGTTGTGTCTATGTGGAGTGCAGCCCTGAGGTGCCACTGAGTCTGCTGCTCACAGGTGAGGGGAGCATAGAATCCTGCTGATACAGCTCTTTTAGGGCGTTGTAGTGTTCTTTCCTGTGTGCTTGGCTGCTCTTGGCTGATTTCTGGTGCACTCTTGCTCAGGTGGAATCCAACTGGAGCCACTGCAGCTTTGTGTCATCTTTTTTTGCATCATCCCTGCATAGCAACTTGCTGATCTGTCTTTAATTGGTTTGATTCTTCAGAGCATGGCCTGTCCCTGGTCCTTTTTGGGTTGGGTCGGGAGGAGTTTCTGAACAGGCTGATGATGTATGGCAGTGCTGGAGTTGTGGATTCTGTGTGCCACCTCAATGGGTGGGAGAGATGTTCCATTCCCATCCATGCCCTGGAGGTAAGGGAAGCTTCATATCTTACAAATGGCAGAGGCAAAGAAAGCTGCTTTGTGTTCTACAAACAACAAAACTGCTTCTTTCTAATGAAAGTGTTCACTGCTTTTCTAATTCTATTAACGGGTGCAGTTTAGCAATGCTAGTGGTGGTTTTACACACCATTTAGTTTATGCCTCAGCAACCTGGATGCAAATGGGAGTGGTTTAGTCATGAAATAAACAATAAACCCCAAGTAATTCAGATCGGTCACCCAAAAAGAGAAATACAGCAGCAAAGAGAATGCACATTAGTAAAATAAAACAGAATTTGAATGTAATTAATGCTCAAAAATCCGTTTCGGTTGGAACCAAAAGCTTTTCTTGCTGAGTTCTGCAGCAGGTTTTGTCCTCTTGCAAAATGCCAAATATTAAAATAAATCCTTGGAGCTAGATTTTTTGGGTTTAATAACAGTTTACTTCACTGCTGTAAAGCCAGAGAGAACTAGCAGTCAGTGTACAATATATATGTTAGAACCCAGTGCATAATTGTTGTCCTCATGTGTGCCCAGGCAGGACTGGAGAATCGCCAGCTGGACACAGTGGATCTGTTCTTAAAAAGCAAAGAGAGTGTTTTCACCCTCTCTGCGCTCTGCCCTGGGCCTGAGCAGTGCAGGGATGAGGCATCCCAGTCCTACCTGAGCAGTAAGTAAACCTGAAGCCACAGAGGTGTCAGTGGGATTGCCTTTGGCACAGTGCAGGTGTTTGATGCTTCCCTGTGACTCCTGCAGATCTGGAGCAGCTGAGACCAGCTCTGAACTTGCTTTGCTCAGCAATCCAAGCAAATGATCTGGAGCCTCACAGCAAACACTTCTCTGAGCAGCTCCTGGGCCTCACCTTGGCTTTCCTGACCAAGCAACTGGACGAAATCTCTGTGCACACACAGGGTGAGATAACTCATTGCCCGAGTTATATCTGTAATGTGTCATTCTTTAGTGAAGGAAGGACATGAAATCTTTTGAATGAAAAGCTTAGATTTGCCTAGAATTAACAAATCAAGAGCTGGAGTTAAGTGAATGATGTTCCATGAACACCACGGATGTTCATCCCTGCATGTCACATGGGACTTGTCTGACTAATAAGTGGTTGGATTCATAATAAATTCCCGTGCTAGTCCTTCCAGTGAGGGCAGGGAGCACTGGTGGAGCTGTGCCTGCACCTGGCAGGGTGCTGAGTGTGCTGGGCAGTGCCAGGCCCTGTGCAGCTGAGCAGCTGTTGACCTCTTCCCCCCGCGAGGTGTTTGTTTGGTGATCAGGAGAACACTCAGCACTGCCAAACATTAGAGCTCCTGCACTGCCCACGGTTTAACTGCTGTCCTGGCTGCTCCTGGCAGAGCCCGATGAGTTCCTGCAGAAGGCTGCAGATATTTTGGCTGATTACATCATCAAACTGAGGAAATTCCTGAGGAAATACCCCAGACCCCACATGAACACAGTGCAGACAGGAGGGGATGTGGGTGAGCACCTGCCTGCAATAGAAGAGAGCCACAAGTGGGAAAAGCTGACACCAGAGGTAAAAACGTGTAATCCAATTTTACTGTTCCTATTAAATATAATTAAGGAGATAATTAATGTGGAAATGCCTTAAAGTATTGGGGGGGAAAATGAATATAGGGATTATAAAGATAGAACATTTATATTTTAAATACTGAATAGAATTATAAAAATTGAATATAAGGATAATAACACTGAAGATAGATCAGTTTGTGCCATTTTCCCCTCCAGGAAGTCATTGCTGAGGCCATTTTAAGCAACAAAATTCCAGAGGCTCAGATCTTCTTCCAGTTGCATCAGCATCCTGCTGAGAGTCTCCAGGAGTTCCTGCAGACAGGCTTGAACCTGGTCTATGACTGTCTGCTCAAGGGTAACACCACAGAGGCCTCCGAGCTGTTAAGAAACATGGTGAGAGGTGTTCAGGAGTTCTTCACACCTTTGTGACTGCTGAAATGGAGGAATGCTGGGAGCGTGGGAGCTTTTGGTGTCCTGTGGATGTGATCTACCAAACAGAGGTGTCACAGTGGAAACTGGCTTGTCTCAAAGAACTGCTTTGAGCACTGATGCCCTCAGAGTGTTGGGGGATGTGTATTGGCTGATCTTGGGGCTCGTTTGGGGGCTGTTCAGCCTGGAGAAGAAAAAGGTCTGTGGAGACCTCAAAGCAACCTGCCAGGAGCTGAAGGGGCTCCAGGGAAGCTGCAGAGGGACTTAGTGAGGAACTGCAGTGACAGGACAAGGAGCAATGGGGAAAAATTCAAAGGGGAAATTGAGATTAGATATTAGTTTTCCCTGTGAGGGTGGTGAGACACTGTCCCAGGTTGCCCAGGGAGGCTGTGGCTGCCCCAACCCTGGCAGTGTTCACAGCCAGGTTGGATGAGCCTTGATCAACCTGCTCTGGTGGGAGGTGTCCCTGCCCAGGGCAGGGGGTTGGGACTGGGTGATCTCTAAGCTCCATTGCAGCACCTTAACGTGCTGTGAAACTGTTGTGATCAGCAAGTGTAAAGGTGAAATCAGGTGTTAAAGGGTCCATGGTTTGCATCCAGCCATGCTGGAGGCATCAGGCAGATCCCTGGGTTGCTGTGACACCTCTAGGAACTGGGGAGCTGAACGTGAGTGTGTTTGTAACAGTTGTGTGCCCTGGCAAGAGAGCAGGTGTGTGTGTTCTGTGTGAGCAGCTGCACTTCAATTTGCACACAGTGAGTGTCTTCTCTCCCATCAGGGCTTTGATGTGAAGGAGGAGTTGCATAAGATTTGTTTCTACACAGAGGATAAACACGTCCGAGATCTGCTGGTAAGTGCAGCAAAGGCTTCTGGTGTCCTGCTGAGGCCTGGGGAGTGTTTGTTCTGAACACACTCAGAGTGGGACAGAGGTTGTGTCCCCACGCTGAGCACACTCAGAATGGACAGACGTTGTGTCCCTGCTCCCTTGCAGTGTATCTCCTGAGACATGCCACTGCCATGACTGATCTTGTATATTTGTATGTAAAGTAAAAATTGGTTTAAATACCATTTTTTGTTCTGGCTGTGGCCTAGTTCTGTGCTTCACACAGCATGGAGCTCTCTTGTCATTGAAGTGTATTTCTCTTTGCTTCCAGCAGTTTTTCCTCCAGTTGGTAACTGTTTGTACTTGCAGGATCATTTGCAACTTGGATGTATTAAAAGTAGCTAAAATGGCAATTGCATTTAATGCTTTAATTTGAATTAAAGGTGAAAGTTCTCCAAGAAGACAATTATTTCTCTGACAAGGAAAAGAGAATGATTGACTTTGTGCATCAGGTTGAAAGCTCCTACTCAGAATCCTCCCAGGAGAGCAAAGAGGTTCAGTCTCTTCCCAGGTAATGTGGGGTTTCAGTTTTAATTATTAATGAATAACATTAATAAGATTTAAGCTATGCTGACTTCTACATTCTGTGTGAGTTACTGCACTAATACAGCCTTAACTTAATTTATTCCACACAGAAATCAGTTAGTGTGGAGACTGAGCAATTGTCTCATTCATGTCACAGTGGTGTCCTGTTCTCTCCAGACCAAGTCCTGACAAACTATTGTCAGTGAAACAGCTCTTCTGCTCATGGTGTCACCATAAATGAAGTGGTCTTAGTCAGAAATAGTGTCATTAGGATTATTCATCAAATGAAACTCGTTTAAATGGAACATTTGCTCTATTTTTGAGATATGATATCCATAATACAGCAAGCTATCAACCTGCAAAATAATACAAGTAATCTAAATACAGCAAACAAAATCAAAGAAAAATAATTTTACAGCTACATAATTGTGAAAGTGTTACAATACTTGTCATTTGTTATGGAGTTTTGGAAATATGAGGTAATTCTTTAGCTCCCAAACCTTTAGCACAAGTCATTCCCTCTACCACTTCCAGAGCTCTCCGGAATGGACTGGCAAAGTTTGCTGACACTTTCATCACATTCTGTTTGCTAGATTGTGGCTGTTTATTACAAGAGTCCTAAAAATACCCTAACCCAGTCCTCCCTCAGTTTCAGGCTCTGGAGGAAGGATCAGGACCTCTCCAGGCGCTCAGAGGTGCTGGACTCAGTGCTGGGCTGTGGCAGACACCAGGCTCAGGGCAGGAGAGTCAGAGTGATGCTCAACTGGGCTCAGTGGTGGGATGAGCTCCTGCAAGAGATGGTTCTGCTCCCCAGGAAGCCACGCCAAGGCAAGTGTTCTGGGGCTGAGGGCTTAGACTGGGAGTTGAAATCATGTCTGTGGTTTAGACATAGCAGTTGTGTGGCAGTGGCATTGCTACAGCCAAAGTTGTGTCAACCGCAGAGGTCACTTGGGTTTTGTCAGCGAAAATGGGGTTTCATTCTGGTGCATTCTGGATCTGGGTGTTTCCTGTAGAGGAAGGTGTGGAACTAGCTGAAAGGCAATTGCCTAAGGCTTGGCCACTTGCACATATGTCCCAGTGACACCTCCTACCAGGCTCATTGCTCTGGGAGTGTGTTTGGCTGTGCTAACACAGAGCTGACTACAGACTTCAGCTCAGCACCATATTTGTAACTGCTTGTGAAAAATAGGTACATGGAGGGACAGAACAAAGGGGAATGGCTTCCCACTGCCAGAGGGCAGGAAGAGATGGGATATTAGGGATAAATCCTTCCCTGTGAGGGTGCTGAAGCTCTGGAATGGATTTCCCAGAGCAGCTGTGGCTGCTCCATCCCTGGGAGTGTTCCAGGCCAGGTTGGATGGGGCTTGGGGCAACCTGGGCTGGTGGGAGGTGTCCCCTGACCATGGGACTCGACCTTGGAAGGTGCTTTCCAACCCAAACCATTCCATCACCCTATATGTAGAGAAGCATCAGCATTTCCCTCGGTAGTGTTTGTTTGTGCTGGTCTCATCCCTTTGCCTTTCTGAAACCCAGAACTGAAGACATGCAATCCTGAGGTTCTCTGGATGCACCTGACAGCTCAGCACGATTGGCATAGCATTTGCTCCTGGATTGAGGAGTCAGAGCCCAGCCAGGCTCTGTGTGGCCAGGCTGCCTGGCCCCCTCTGGCTGCAGACGTCATCGACAGGAGCACCTTGTGCAGCAGCCCCATGAGACAGGATATACTGAACAAACTCGCCAGGTCGGTGGCCTGATGCTTTGTGCTCATCTCTGTCAGTGTGAAGCCAAAATCAGACAGTTATAGAAGGTAATAACATCTTTGATAGGTGTTAATCTGTGTGTTGTATTTAGTGCCCTTTGGGAAACAAATCCACTACAAAGCTTAGTTTTAGCCTTGTACTTTGTTGTCTGAAAACAGTAAGAAATATGAGAGCAGGAGAATCCTCCCTCAGCCCTTGGATCTTTCCCACTGATTACATTCCTGATGCCCACTTTAATGCACAAGGAGGAAGTTCTGAGCACAAGTATTTCACTGCTCACACCTCATTCTCTGCAGTGACCTGTAGTAACTGCAGTGTTAGAGCACCACCAGGTATAGTTTAGTGTGTTGTGTTTGCCTCAGCAGTGAATTCATCCCTGAAAAGGAAAGGGCTGCTTTAATCCTGAGCTGCAAACACCCTCCAGACCCTGTCAGAGACAGAGCTGTGTGATGAGTGTGGTTTTCCCTTTGCTGACAGGAATGGAGTGTTTGTGCATTCTGAGCTGGAGGATTTCGAGCTCCTGCTCCAAAGGCTGTGGTACCTCGGGGGAGTCCTGCAGCATCCTCACCCTGTGCCCAAGTACAGCACTGCCTCTGGCTTGGACTTCCATGCTCAGTTTGTGCTTCACTGCTTGGAGCACAACTTGCACTACCTGTTGTACACCTACCTGGACTATTACAGGTAGGAATTCTTTCCACCCCTCCAGTCCTGGGTGGTTAGAGAATGAAACACAATGTTAACAGCTGGTGGTAAGAGTTTTCCTCAGCCCTTCCTGTCAACAAAACCTTCTGGGTCACAGCAGTGTCACTGCACAAAGCCTGTGGGGCAGTGTCTGAGGTTTCATGCTATGTTTGAAGCTTTTTTCAGATTGTCTTAATTTGTGTGTCAGTCATCAAAGGAAACAGTTACAGGTGTAATTAGTATAATGCTAAAACTAATACAATCTTAAATGAGCCAAACCACTTGTTCTTCAGAAGCTCAGAATTTATAGCATTCAGACACTCACCCGGGCACAAGTAAGAGTTAACTCTAGGTATGTTCACAATAAAGAGATTGCTGGATTCCATCTTAATTAGGATTAATTGGTATTTGAAGGAGAAAACAAGATTAGGCATTGGAACTGTATGAATACTTTACACTTAATAAATGCTTTACAATGAAAACTTCTTAGCTGTAACTCCAGTCTAACACTGAAATTATCCAGAAGGTAAAACTGGACCAGAAAACAGCCAAGAAATTGTTGTTTGCTGTTTGTATAACCAGTTGTGTCTGCAGAACACCCAGGCAGGTGCTCCCAGTTGTCAGTGCTGTGGTACCTGGGGGCAGAGAGGGTTACAAGTGCTGTATTTTCACTCTGCTTTTCCTTTATTTTCAGTTTAACCCCTTCCAACTGCCCCATCTTGGACAACAAGGAGCTGCACGAAGCACATCCCTGGTTTGAGTTCCTGGTGCAGTGCCGAGGGGTTGCCAGCAATCCCCAAGGTAGGAACTGCTCCAGAGGTGAACTGGTGTTCCTGCTCTGGCTCAGGCTTGGGCACAGCTGAGCTTAATCCTCTGCTCTGCTGAAAACCTTTCTTTGGCCATGACAAATCATTTCCATGTCCATCACTTCCTCGTCCCTGAGTTTTTTTTACCTACACATAAAGGTTTGGAGGCTGTGGATAGGTGACAATTATTGGGTGTGTGATCATCATCATCTCCATGGTGATTATATTCTCGACAGTTTAAACAGAAGCAGAATCCATAAGGAAATTGATATACCATTAAAATTAAACCTTCCTCTAGGCCTTGTGGTGCAGTTTGACTTCTCTGCCCTTGGATTGTGGGGGGTTTTTATTATAATGGAAAATCAGTGGAATTTGTGTCCTGAAGTCATGGCACTTTTAAACATTTCATCTTTCATAGAGTCACACATTAACAAATCATCAAAATAAGCCCTAGTGAAGTTCTTTGTAGTAAGCGTGATCAGTGTAGGATAAAGAATTGAACCAACACAATTGTAACTGTGGGGCTCAATCCCAGTCAGGCTCTGGAGGCAAAATGTGGTGTGAAATTGGGGAAATTTGGTAGAATTTTGGGGGGAAAAAAAACAGTATTAACAGTGAAAAGTAGCAAACTCAGCAGTTGTCATGGCTAGAGAAGAGCTGTGATTATTGATTTGCTGTTGGGCTTGCATGAGGCTAAATCTCCCTTTGTTTGGCTTCAGACTCACAGGTGATGTTCCAGGCCAGCCTGGCCAACGCTCAGATGCTGATCCCCAGCGCCCAGGCTGGGGTGAGCAGCATGCTGCTGGAAGGCCACACACTGCTGGCCCTGGCCACCACCATGTATGCCCCTGGGGGCATTGATCAGGTACAGTGTGGGCACGTTTGTGATAACCTCTGACTACAGCTTTACAAGGAAGATGCTCAGTGAGGCTCATGTTGGCCAGAATTGATTAACACAGAGTGTTTTGGTCACCTGAAACATGAGGTGCTGCTGGAGACATGTCTGATGTAACCCCAAGGGTTTATTAGGAGCTGCAGTGGCAGGGCAAGGAGTAACGGGGATAAACTGACAGAAGGAAATGGAGATTAGATATTAGGCAGAAGTTTTCTGTGTGAGGGTGGTGGGACACTGTCCCAGGTTGTCCAGGGAGGCTGTGGCTGCCCCAACCCTGGCAGTGTTCACAGCCAGGTTGGAT